GTGTCTTGCTCTCAATATACCTCTTTGCCATTGTCTGAACCTCGCCTGTTTTGACCACGTCTTTAAATAAAGCTTTGCAAATGGATCTGCTCGCTTCACGTCTCTGTCGCACCGTAACAATTACAATGATTTCTGAAGGATCATGTGACAGTGAAGACTGAAGTAATGATGCTAAAAATTCAGCTTTACATCACAGAAATAATTTACATGTAAAAATATATTTTATATAATATATTTAATGTTAAAATTGTATTTAAAACAGTAATGATGTTTCAGAATACAATGGGTTTTAATCAAATAAATGCACCCTGAGTAAGCACAAGACATTTTTTTCAAATTTGTGTGTGTGTGTGTGTGTGTGTGTGTGTTTGGGGACACATGCTCCTCATCTCATGTGAAGAGTTAAAAGCTCTGTCCTTTTCATGGGGAGCAACCAAAGGCTTTCTACAGCACTGAAAATGGCACCATAACCTGCTGGCAATTAACAAGCAGCACAGCTGATAAAGAGAGAGACAGAGAGAAAGAGGGACTGGAAGAAAGAGAGAGAAAGAAAGAACAACAAAGAGGAACAGCGATATAAAAAGAGAGTGGACCAGACTGATTCAACAGATGAAACAGGATGGGGAACACGGCAAATAAAGGCAAAATTGCCACAAAGTGAAGAAGAACTTCAAGGCCACAGGGAAGAGAAATGGAGGAAAGGAGAGCCGAGGGAGGGAGATCAGGGGGAGGCAAGGCAGCTGGAAGGAAAGGTGGCATTAAGATGAAAGAAAGCATGCAGAGATCAGTTCCACTTCAAACGAAGGTCAGGAAGCAAAACAGTAAGAAGGGTAATTTAGAGACAGAGAGAATATGGACAGTGAAAGGCAATTGAGAGAGGAAAAACTTGGTGTGAAAATGTGTTTGAGTTTGTTAACATGTCAGCCTATTTTATTACACATCTCTCTGGAATCTGTGGATTCTGAATGGTTAATATTAACATTCTGCTATCAAATATCTAGTGCAGTGACCTGTAAACTGTACATTTGACCTTTGTCCATGGCAACCAAATTCCTACACTACAACGTTTCTCATTGCTCTCTACAGTTTCTTTATTCTCACACAATACAGTAATTTTAACTTTAATATTTCAGTTACATTTATTTATACGCTTGGAACGGAGTGTATTAAGTAAAATGTGGGATAAAGTACATTCAGTTACTCATTATCACAAAATAAACCCCTTCAGGAAGATACAAGACCTGTCTGTGATGATGACCGTACATTATTCTTTTCTTTTATGCCCTCTAAGTACCATATTAGAAAATTATAATTTCATCATTAAGGAAAAAAAAGTTGAAATTTTTCTTTGGATAGCTTAATATTTGGTTATAATGACAGTAATTTCTTAATTTCTGTCACCCTGCCAGGAATGCAAGATCATGTAAAATCAAACGGTAGTTATTGATATTTTGTCTTTCTCACCTCACTCTTCTTGTCAGTCAGCTCGACTCACTAACCTCACGTGATAAATGAAATCTAAATCCTGCTGATTATCAGTGACTGTTGTTCAGCCGCGGTCAGTTAAAATAGCTATTTTAAATTGTAATAATTTTTCACAATATTACTGTTGTTACTGCATTTTGATCAAATAAATTCAGCCTTGATGATCATAGGATATTTCTTTCAACACCATTAAAGAAATCTTTCCAACTCTAAATGTACGCTCTTGAAAAGCCCATATAATCTGTAGCCACTTTCCTGTAACTGCTTACAGGTGTCAGTCAACCAACCAGAGCTAATAAAAACCATGTTTGCCCCTCTAGGCAAATGAGCAAGGACCATTTATGAACAACATCAATACCCATAAGCCCCTGTAACATCAACACGCTCTATTCACAAACATCAGCAGCACATGTCCTAACTGCATGCAGTCTGATCCTCCACATGTAAACAAATTCCACACAGATTCACTCAAAACAAATTAAGTGGTAATGAATACAGCGTGGACTGATTCTGATAGCCCTTTGCATGCATTCACACATGTCACAGCTGCACGACCACACTTCTGTGAAAGCATTACTTAGCCACTGTGCGCACATTCATATAGTTACATCCATTATGTTATCATAATCAAAAGCTTAGTGCAATGTGTTTTTTTTTTTTTTTTTTTGCCAACCATGATTAAAATGGCCCCATGGATGTTTAGATTTGGTTGGAGGGATTAAATGTGATTTAATGTAATTGTGCAAGAGTAAAGCCCAGGCAGTTGTGAGCTTTGAAAGAAAGAAAATAAAACATTAAAAAGGAAACTCTGGTAAGGTAATTCTGTACATAAAAGATAATTTATGATTACAAGCCATGCACAGTGCAACGTTCATGCAGACTTAGGATTTTTTTTCTCTCTCTGTAAGTTCTCCAGGCTCTCTGAGTTGTTTTATAAGACTTACCCTAAAAAAACTTTTGTGAATGCATAAAGGTAATAAGCTTATCATCAAAACTAGTTGTAAAGTCACCATGATTTTTTTATTTTTTTAATGAAAGAAGTCTCTTATGCTCACCAAGACTGCAATCATTTGATCAAAAATACTGAAACGGTCTAATTCTGAAATATTATTATAATTTTAAATAGCTGTTTTTTATTTGAATATTGAACATGTAATTTATTCCTGTGATGCCAAAGCTGAATTTTCCATTACTCCAGTCATCAGTGTCACACAATCCTTCAGAAATCACTATAATATGCTGATTTGGTGCTTGATATACATATTATATCAATGTGGAAAGCAGTTGTGCTGCTTAATATTTTTGTAGAAAAAGTGATACATTTTTACAGGATTCTTTGAAGAACAGAAAACTCAAAAGAACAGCATTTATTTTAAATTACTGACCCAAAACTTTTGAACAAATGCATGTCTACTTTAAGGTAAAATAATTGTTTGACTAATTGGATTTCATTATGCCAAAAACTTTCCAAAAAATAAAAAATAAAGGAAAATAATTTTGAAATTGCTATTATTATTTTCACACATATTCTCTGGGACCCTGAACATAAAACCCGTATAATCAATCTCAACAGAACATGAGGGGCAAAGTGCATGTAAAGACATGCAAATATTAAGAACAATTCTCTGCTGACACACTTCAGCAAATCATGGAAATTAAACCTGCGTCAGAGAGTGATGGTGGCTTTGAATAAATGAATTCACTGAAAAAAGAAGATTGCACAATTTTTACTTGATTATGCACAGGCAAAGTGCAATAACTACAGTGAGCTGAAAGCAATTAGACATCGTTCTATTGTGGAACAGGAAACAACAATAAAAGAGGAGGCGAGAGAAAGATGATCGTAATCTTGAAAAGTCTAATGTTGGGAATTGTTTAAATTAACAAATAATTTGCTTGATGATGAAAAAAAGAACAAACAGATCTACATTAAAAGACAAAAAAAATAAAACATAAAATAAATAAAAAAATACACCTATGAAGTCCAAAGCATGTAATTTTCTCTTCTTTACAGTACAGCATCAATCTCCTCCTTCAAGCATCTGATAATGAATAAAGGGCAATGAATGTTGCTTCAATCCACTGGATGGGCTTTAGGAGTGATTTTTTACCATGTTTGGGTTTATAATAACGATAAAAATCTCTATATCTCGCTGCTTTTTAATCACACTAGCGCATTCATCTCGGAATGATTTGGAATGTAATTTGGTGGGAGAGGTAATCAGGTTTTGCGTTGATTGACTTTACGGCCTGCAGATAGAAGGGTTTTTCTGCTTCAGTAATTACCGCCCGCCATTCTCCTGTCTAGTCAGGTCTGCCTGTTGCCGTGCCGACCACCTCCCGGTGCGTATTAATGATGCGTGAGGTGTGCTGTGCCAGTGGGGAGTTACACAAAAGGAAATACTGGCGCAGTCGAGCGCGCAAGACACACGAGATTCCAGCGTTTCCACAGGTGCTTTACGCACAGGTACATTCCGTCGGCACAGCAGACGCAGCTGCCATCAAAATCAACAAAGTTTGCAGCGTAGACAGCTTCATTGATTAAAACCGCAACGTTTTAGCATCTAGTTGGTGACCAAAGTTGCCGAAGGTCAAACTTAGCCAGCAATCTCTTCCACTCATTGTCAATGAATTACTGTAACTCGCTGTCAGTGTGAATGCATCTTCAGTGTAGACGTGTCTCTCTGCCTTGCGTCTCTCTTTGTCCTTTTCTCTCTCACCTTATTTGTGATGCTTCAAAAACTCTTTTGTATCGCTCCTCCCTGATATAAACAGACTCCGAGCGCAGATGTTTTCCGACGCAAATACAAACAGAGCGTGAACTAGAATACATGCGGCACTCTCAAAGCTCCTAAATAAACAGGCACAAAGACGCAACCAAAGCATATCAACAGACAGAATTACGTCATCATGAGCAGTCAAAATAAGAAAAAAAAAACACTTTTGTTTGACATATTTGACATTTCTTTGTACATCTAAACTGAGAGATGCTTATTACGAGTTACGCCAGTAGGGGGAGTAGTTTTGAGAACCTGAAAGCACAACTAGCTGTAGATTGTGTTTGTGATACTCATTCACTTCATAAGGCACTACGGAGTGAAACAGGAAACGGCACGTAATTTCATAACCAGAGATCCCTCAGGAAAAGCAACATTGTTTAGATTTTTGAAGACAATACGGTAATAAAGATTCTGCCGTGACGGCTGACAGGTTTTTGGATGGGATCGATTCACAAGGCAATCAGATCATGAGATTGAAGGCATTGTGTTTTGAAAACCCAAGCTCTCACTTTAACGCATGAGGTGAGAAGAATGATGCAAATTTCAGCTCATTAATTCAATTAATGCAGTGTCAAAGACTTCATCAAAGGGACTTCTGATTATTAACGAGTCTGCAAATACATGTCAAAATGCTCTCAATTGGGTTGAATAAATATAATATGAGATCTAAAATATGTTTGTGACAGTTGTCTAACAGACATTGTGCGTGTGGGGGGCTGCAGATGTGTGACTTACGGGTTTCCGTAGTCCCAGACAACACACTGAGGATCTGTTGTGCCCTGTGAGGAGAAAGAAAGAAAGAACAACAGAAAAAGTTAGGAATGACTAAAAAACAAGATAAACCAATTAGTGTTGCATTGCAGAAAATAATAACAATAAATACTGTATGCATTGCATCTGTTTCCGTATGAAGGGAGATGAAGTGATGGAGAACATATGTGAATGCTATTGATTTATTTAACAACATAATCAAATCAGGTAGCATCTGCAAACAAACAATTCTAGGCATTTATTTGAAACATATGTTTTTATAGTCTGAGACGTAACAAACTGATTGTGAAATGTTTAGCTTCAGAAAAATGTATACCATATTTCTGCCACTTGGTTTAATGATTTGTTATATAATATAAATCTATTCATATATTTTAAGTGTCAATAATTTGTCCACATTTTGGGGGCCACTTTATGTATGTGCTGAATGCAAAATTACTCTTAAATTATTAAACATTAAATTAAAACAAGTATATATTTTTAATAATTGTAATTATTAATACAAATAAAAAGTCAACATTAATAATAAATGTTTCATGAGCACTAATACACAAATACAAAACAGTTATTTTAAAGTGTAATAAAATTTTTTTGTTTTTAAAGCTGTAACCCTCCCACATTTTTTTTATAATCTTCTTTTGTGCGACAGTGGTTACTGTTCTCAAATTCTGATCACTATGTTGCACTGTATGTCAATGTAAATGTAATGTAAATGTGTTTTCCACAAAATAAATGTCTTGGTTATTTTGTCAAACATGTTAGTATAACAGTGGTATACCTACAGCTAATATTCCTTCAAATTTTGAGCGATGAAGATTAACAATATTTCGGAAAGAAAACAAGTATTTCTAGATTATTCTCTCATTTTGATCTCCAATATGTATATATATATATATATATAGAGAGAGAGAGAGAGAGAGAGGCAGAATGGAAAACAGGGCTCTCTTGAGCCCAGTGAAGACTCTAGCTGAATCATTAAAAAAAAAAAACACCAACTTATTCTTGATTCTTTTGATTCGTGAGAGTCTGGGATGATGCCCTCACTGTATGCCCAGTGTGAGGCTCTAATCAGGGTTCAGTGGTGCATGGCTGGATGAACAGCTCATTATTGATTCATCAGCGAATCAACTGGTGTAATTGACTAATCTGTCTCAGCTCAAGTTATGCCTATTATGTCTTTTTAGGAGGAGGAATCCCACATGGGATCTTATGACCTGAACAATAATCACCTCCGACCTTCAGGAGTCTAACAGACTCCCACTAGGGCTGCCAGAATCAGAGGGAAATTATATCTTGTTATATAGTCTCAGTGAGGTGGTATACTTCCAATGAAAATGGATTCAGCGCGATACAGACACTATACAGGATTTTTAAACATGTCATTGCCCCCAAGTGGTTAAACAATGGCACATACTGGATTGGATCAAATGACTGAGTCACATTTTGACAGAGTAAGTGTTTGAATGACAGATGGTTGACACAGTCTGCTCCACAATGGCCTGAGAGTGGTTTTCTGGACAGAATAACAGTCGGATCAGCCCAGAAACACTCACGCAGATGTTTGATCATTGTGATATGTTTGCTAAGGCCAGTTTTAAGTGTCCAGTATGGACTCATGCCATTCGATTGGCTCGAATGTACTTATCAGCACCACAGATAGATGGTTTTGGTACTCTCATTTATAATGAGAACAAATGACCGGAGCCGTTTTGTCATTGCAGGTGGTAAACAAAACCAACAAAACATGCAATTGAATACATAATTTCAATTTGACACTCAAATAACTGACAGCCGGATGCTTTGAACATCACATCAGTGATCAATAACCGGTGTAGATGCCAGTACGCCCGTATTAAGACTGATGAATGGGGAGGATCGCCAGCCAATGACACAGCTGGAGTGCACTGCCTCCATTCCCAGCAGCCTCTGGGGTTCAGGATGGCTCATGCAGGATGTTTTCAAGCAGCTGTCCACACAGAGAGGACAAGTCCCAACACACAGCCTTAGATGCCCCCCTCCGTGTCCCAAACATCTACGGCCGGGGCTCCGCTGGACAGTCTGGACACTGACCCCTGCCAAGGTCTTTCATACACAGATGGGACTCACCCAGGACTACGGCTGAGCGGGGCACGACCTAAGTACGGCGGGGGACGTGTGCATAGAAAACATTGATGAATCACATCCACTCCTGCATTTCCAAAACTCACGCCTCTACGGAGGAGATAGCAGGTAAAGGTTGCCATGACGACTAGGGGAACATCACAATGGCAGTGTTCTCGACGCAGCTGATTTCTGCACTGATGTACAATCCAATCTGCAGGTTTCGCACATTTTGCATAGATCCTTGAGGGTATATTTTTATTAACTTTTTTTCCCACATAAAATATTGAGAGCCTTTATGTGCAGTACTTTATGTCCTGTGTATTTAGGGATTAAAGATGTTCTATTCATAACAGATTATTAATAGAGGGTCATTCTAACAGAACTGTATTTCGTGTCTGATTATGTTGTTCAAATAGACTCACTGTGCTAGAAGTCTGTGCTCACTACATCTCAGGCAATTTGTCACCATGAGTGAATGTGCATTGGTTATCGGTCATAACTAGTGGTACAGTTAGAACCAAAAGGGGAAATATAAGAATATATAAGAAGACAGAGATTATGGTGAACGCATGTAACCTCAATTCTGAAGGGTTAGTTTAGACAAAAAATTTAATTTCTGAAAATATGATATGAAAATTCTGAAAATATACGAAAATATTCCTCTATTCTGCATATATACACAACCGATCAAAGCACGATATTATCGGAACGTTATCAGAATCTGCCGATAATGGCTTAAAATGTAGGCATTGGCCCAATGAGAAAAAGTATGCTGATATGCCTTGCCAATAAGACGAATTACTTGCATGTACTTAGGATGTGCTAGCGATAAGATCACGTCAGCAGTGTTGTCATTCTTGAAGCAAACTTTTGCCTGAATGATGATTAGATTCACTGTTTTGGATCATAGCATTTAATTAGAGAACGCAAGTACAGAATGACGCGTCTGGTGTGCGATAGAGTAAACAGTTACCAGCGCGTGCAGCAGCAGAAACAGCCTTCCCCGGGTCCTAATGCCCCTTCGGCGAGGCCTGTTTATTCATTTAGGGCAGGGGCAGGCAAGTTGGGGCAAGAGAGCCGCTGTCCTGCAGAGTTTAGCGCCAACCCTAATCAAACACACCTGAATAAGCTAATCAATGTCTCAGGATTACTAAGGCTATAGACAGGTGAGTTTTTTTTTCAGGGTTGGAGCTAAACTCTGCAGGACAGCGGCTCTGTAGTACCGAACTTGCCTACCCCTGATTTAGGGGGTGCCGTTGGCCTACTTGATATAAAATGAAAGTAAAATACACAAATAACACAAAGATTGTGTTTCTGATTAAATAAAGCAGTAATTGAATTCATGACAAGTACAAGTATATTTTGATTTAAATATCAGAAGCTATAGCTTACTTACAAGAATAAAAATCACAAACTTGACACTTGTAAATTAAATAATTTTATATATATAGATTTATTCATTAATGTGTGATATATTTTTCCGAACAGATTATGGAAACTTGAATACAAGGATCTCTAAAAGATTTTCAGAATTTCTACAACTCTTTTGCTTTAGACCATCTACAAATGTTAAATCTTCAGATAAAATGTTAAGGTTACCACTGCATCTGGCTGAAGGGGGAAAAATACAGTGATTGATTTATAGTTGATATATAGTTATTTTCAAAGCTTTCAGTGTACTCTCATTATAAAGCAAGTAAGTTTTTTTTTAAAACTAACCAAAATTAAAAATAATACGTTTATAATCTCTGCACAGGAGAGACTTGGTGTTTTTTTTCCAAACAAAAATATGTCGGTATCAGCATCGGTTATCGGCCAAAATGAGTTGAAAAATATTGACATATCGGATATCGGCAATATCATGCATCCCTACTTCAAAAGTTTGGGGTCTGTAAGATTTTTTATTTATTTATTTTGTTAAAGAAATGAATACCTATATTTCGCAAGGATGCATAAAATGTATCCAAAGTAAAGACCTTTAGATTGTTATAGAAATAAATTCAAATAAATGCTGTTCTTTTAAACTTACAAAAATATTAAGCAGCACAACTGTTTTCAATATTGATAATTGATCGTTTTTAAGCATCAAATTAGCATCTTAGAATGATTTGTGAAGGATCATGTGACACTGAAGACTGGAGTAATGGCTGCTTAAAATTCAGCTTTGCCATCACAGGAATAAATTATATTTTAGAATATATTAAAATAGAAAACATTTATTTTAAATTGTATTAATATTTCACAATATTACTGTTTTTACTGCATTTTGATGCATTTGAAGAGACTTTCAAAAAAAAAGTTTAACAACCCAAAAACTTTTGAACGGTATTGTACAGGAAAATAAAACTGTTTCAGCTAGTGATTTAGTTAAGGAAAGGTACATCAAAAATATACTGTGATGTAATATGCATATTTTGTTGGAGAATTTAATATTAAAGCCTGTTAAAATATAAATACAAGTATAAAGTACTTACATTGAGCAAAGGGGCAAGTTCTACTGATACCAAGGGCTCGATGGGCTTGGGTAAAGGACGTACCGTCACTGTCAGAATCTTTGAGCTGATCACGAATGGATCTCTGGGAGGAAGAAACACAGAGCGAGTTAGATCCAAAACTGACTCCATTTAAAATCTACCAATATGTATCAATGCTGGGCAACATTCAGAATTTAAGAACTGGCACCCTTCATGATTGAACTGGCCACAGCCCACAGAATGCTCAATTAGAATTTGAATTGAAATGACAAAATCATGAAATTCAAAACTGCAATTCAAATAAATTCAACACAGTCACACAACAGAGAACATTTATTAGTTGACAAATTGTGTGACAAAACAATAACATTTAAAATGTATTCTAATTCTGCATATTTATTCACAGACACTTATACACTTTTCTCAGCTGATTAGACATATTTCTCTAAACGAAGTTCAATATTGCCAAAACAATTTACAAAAAAAGAGATTTGAATTTTTTTTTTATTACATTTGTTGTTGATTTATTAAATAAAATAGAGTAAATAATAAATAAAAAATACATAAATAAATTAAATACAAAACTCCATGGGTGGCATTTCAAATATTGGTTAGAATAATAATGTACACTTAACAGCAGTTAATTTCTTTGAATTTCATTGCATTTTAATTGTACTTCCTTAAATTCGGAATACAGTTTTGCACACTGTATGCCACCTCAATTCCAATTTGATTCAATTGAATTCTGAATGGCACACGACTCTGGCAGGTAATCCATGACAGAGCATGATACAATGGCTGAGTGCCACCGTTTGTGTGTGTGTGTGTGTGTTTTAAATCCATTGGCAGAGCTATTTTGGACCATACTGGGTAAAGCAAATCAATCTATTTTTGGTGTGTGTGAGAGTGTGTGTGTTATGGATAAAGATAAAACGTGTGTATCCGTGGGTGTTGGGTCACAAGGAGTTACATTCTGTCACAAACAAATCGGGCAGGTTAGCCCCCCCTGGGGCAGCGAACCAGAGCCATTATAAACATAAATATACTTGATTAAATTAAATTAATTGAAAAGTGTAGTATAGTAGTAGTAATCAGTGGCGGCTCGTCGGGGGAGGCACAGCTTCCTCATAATTTTGAGGTGAAAATGGGAGGAGGACGATTTAATGTTAATAAAATTAACAATTCATTTCAGCTCATGTCTCAGAATGTGTATTTTTTGTGTTACAAACATTTTCATGTTAATGTTGTTGGAAAGCGACACTTTTCTATCGCGAATGTGCCGAATCTGCTGATGTAATTACAACCGCTAATGATAGAGAAGGGTAGGGGGAGGCCGGGGGAGAGCTGAGCTCTCGTGCCTCCGTTGGTAAAAATAATCAGCCAATCACCATCGAGTATTCATGAAATTATATTATCTTGCTGTATGTATGTCGTTTTCTTTACGTTTTCTGACTAAAAGCAACAAAAAAAGCCATTTTAAAGTGGTTAAGCAAATAATAATAATAATAAAAATAATAATAATAATAAAAATAATAATAATAATAATAATTGGCAGGGATCCCAGACCAATACAATTAGTGTGCCTCCTCTATTTTAAAACCCACGAGCTGCCACTGCCAATCAGCCTAATTACACTTATCTCCTCTCTCTCAATACAGACAGGCTCTCAGTAGTGGCTACACTGAGGGCAAAGGCAACACAGTTAACCAGAATATCTGAAAATGTAGCCTCACACTTGCCCCCTTTTTTCCCCTTACATTTGAGTATTAATTTGAATAAATAAATACATTATTACATGTAAAAAAAAAATAATAAATTTGTGTCAAGCCACATCCCTTGACACAGCATCAGAATATCCATGGTAAGGATCATGGGATTAACAGGTAGTGCAGGAATAGGAGGTATTCTAGGAATAGACAGCACTGTATGTCCATTTTAGGCTGCTGTTGTAAAACTAGAACAGAAGACAGTGTGGGAGCACAATGAGCCTACAAAAGGTGGCAAACTTTACCGGATTAACCATGTTTAATCCTGTATGAAGTCATATGAACTGTTGACCTCCCATCAGAATGTAAAGGGTATGGTCAAGACCTTCAAATAAGCATCTTAGTCAAATAAGCTAATTTCTAGACAGATTAAAACAGGCTTAATGATTGTTCCACTTTTATTCTTTGGACCAATTTCGATTTTGATAATTGTCCATTGTCTCTGCCAGCTGGTGTCAATCATATGCAGAGTAACAGAATGAGTGTCCTTAAAACAGCTTTCAAAAACGTATTAATACACACAAACACATGCATTCACACACACTCTCAAAGACTGGACTTACTTTGGTGGGGGCATTATGAGGCCGAGGGTGCGGTACAGAATGGCTCCAATGACGAAATACGGTGTGTCATCTGATTCTACAGGATATAAAGGGTCACAGTGTCAAAACTTAATACTTGAAACGTCCTGAATGTCCCAGATCAAAACTCCATCAAATGAATCGAACTATCAAAAGAAAGGAAAATCTTTAAAAAGGATGAAAAAACTTAAAACATCTGAGGATGTGTTTTAAACATACATCACAACCATTTTATGATCACAATATATGCAGCTCCAGTTGAAGGAACCAAAAACACAAAGCACAATATAAAGGAAGGGTATTTAAGAAAACTCTTAGTGAGAGTCAGTACAAAGCCTGACATTTAAAAGACACCAAAAGGAGGGGATTCATAGAGATATGACCACCGATTATGTTCCCAGGCCATCTGTCCATTTCTCCCCACTGGCTCTGTAGCCCTGTTTCAGCAGCACACATCTCGGTGCTTTTCATATCATTTGGTGCCTTGCACGAGTGCCTTGCCTCCACATGAACCTCATCATCTGTTCTTTTCTGAGACACTATTTATCAAGGACCTCTTTCTTCTCCATCCCTCCACACTCTCATCCAATTCTTCTTCTCCTCGAAACGATGTAGGCACAGAGAGACTCGTCCCTGAGTAAATGCCATCATATTTCACTTATGGAGGACATGCTTTGGACACAAAGTGAAAGTGATACAGTAATAGGTGATGTAACGGGCCTAAAGTCCACATTTCATTGCTCTATTGTTCTCATGCTGCACTGGAAGTCCTCACAGCTATTCAAAGTTTATATGAGCATTTAGACCTGTTCTAAGGCACTTCAGAGGCTCTGATTTTACTGCAAATTTCATGAAGAGAAACTCAGCCAAGCATGGCTGAATCACTGTTGCAATTTTCACTGACATTATGCAATGTACGTTTTAATAATTTAGCTTGAATAGAGCTTGTTAAAATCTCAGAACACAATATGCATACTGTCTGATGCAAAAGAATACACTTGTAACGGAGTACCAGTGGATGACGTGATCTCATTAGCATATTTGAATCTCTCCAAATTTATGGTTTAGAACCTTAGAACATTTATTAAATATGTTTAACAGTTTTTTTTTTTAAGTGCCCCTATTATGCCATTTTTAAGGTTGCTAATATTTATATATAATTATTATATATTCATAATTTGTAAAAGTTTTTTTAAAAGGACTTTATAAATAAATCTAAACACTTTGTTTGTCTTAATGTTTGTTTCTGTGTTATTTTAATATAATTTACATAATATTATAGAATTTTAAATTTAATTTTGAATTTTTAAATTTTCAGTTTAATTTTAATTTTAGTTTAAGTTTTATTAATTGTGCTATGTGACTGTCACATTTTATTAGTTTTTAAATATATTTGTATTTCTTTATATTTGATCTTTTCATCTATTTTATTAGTTTTAATAATGTTAGTACTTCAACTTAAAATTATTTTATTATATTAGGCAACATTTCTCTTTTTGATCTAATTTTTATCTTTCAAATTTGATTTTTAACCGTTTATATTTTATAAGCACTGATGCTTACACATCTAACATTAATAGTGGGCAGAAACTATGCTAGCTAGCATAGATACATATAATACATATACACAGTATTTTAAAAAAAAATATTACCTGATGATATTTTTATAATTTGTTTTGTCTTTACTTTACCACAGTGAAGAAAAAGCAACAACTTTTTTTGTCATTAAAAGATCCCCTCAGACAGACACATTAAGTTTAATGGCAGTGCTATTTTGGACCATCATGCACTAAAAAATGATTCAAATTAGCCAGTTTCACAGATAATTCAATGCCCCAAATCTCGAAAAACCAACAAAACAGACTCTTCTAGCTCGGTTTGCTGTCAAAGGATGAATAAAAGGAGGCGTGTATCGTCCCTTCACTGAGAATGGGGATGTCACAGGACAAAATGACACGACTCATCCAGCAATACTGCAGTTCTATCAGACTCAGCAAATCAAATGCCAATCAGCTCCACAGCGCTTCTGCCTGCATCTTAAACTATGAGTTAATGGATGACAATCACACAACAAGCCCTGTTGGTCTGATTTGAATGGAGCCTAACTTCTATCTTCCCTCTATTCTCTGAGCTATCACTTCAACAATGCTATTTTGAGAAAGGGCCCTGATGAACCTTTCCTTCTTTCAATAGAAAACCGTTCTGGACAAAGCTCAGCCCAGGGAGCCATCTTATCTCCGCTGGCAGTTGGCAGAATGGGGAGCATGTCGAGACAGGAAGTGTTTGTTATTTCCTGCTGGGTGGTCCTCCACGGGCAGGCAGGTCTGTAATGGTTTAGCCTGAAGTTGTTGAGACACTCAACGAGACACTAGCAATAATGGTCATTTCTTTGATGTCCGTTTGTTTCTTTCTCATGTCATTCAGCACTCTCTTCAGCCTTCAAACCAGCTCTTCCATGCCCACATCCTGTGTTTTCATTCTCTCAGGCAGAATATCTTTCGAAGTCTGAGTCTGAGGACTGAGTGTCTGTCATGATGGCAGTTTAATGCTGCTCAGTATTGTACACACAGAGTTTGGTTATTTATCGCAGAATGGGAGTTCGTCTGATCAATACATGGGCATATAATTACAGGTCCTATCCTCTTGAACGAGGCAAATCAGCAATAAAATCTAAAGACAGTGGTGCTAGAGAATTTTCTCAAATCATAACATAACATAAAACATTTTACAGGTCTTATTAATACAGAAGCTGACATGGTTACAGAAAAAATTATGAGATGGGAGAAAAATTATCCTCAAAAACCACAAACAAAACTACACAAGGTAAAAGACAATATAATCCAGGTTACATAAATATGGGTGCAATCAATAAGAACATAGTCTGTGCTAACCACAATGCATTCTGTGCAGTGAATTGTTGGCTGCCAAGAGCATGAAATCATCAAAACTCAATTTAACAATTCAAACAATTTTGAAACTGTGTATGGTCACTGCTAGATGTCCAATGAAAAGTCTGTTGAGCATCACTGATTTAGGTGACTCATTCCCACATTTAAATGCAGCTGCAACGCTCAAAACTTGGCAGTGTGTACTTGTTCCAGGAGGGCTGACAAAAAAAAATAAAATCAGGAGAGTCATGAGAAAGATGTTAAAGAATGTCAAATGTGACAGGCAAGAGAGTCATATAACATGCTAGGACACCGGAGCAGTTCACATTAAGCAGCAGAACCCTGATGAGACAGTTAGACTCACTGCTGATTCCAAAGGATCTCATTAATAACCATGATGGAGCTGCACACAGAGATGCAATGCAACTCACATACTGTTACCACGAAAACAACATGATAATTGAAAACACAACCCAACCAAAAGTTTATATTTACACATTGTACATATCACATAACTAGCACTCTGCCTCTTTCTTGGATAAACAGTAAAACAGTGGCAAGATTAGAAAATGTTGCAAGCTGCAATCAAACTTGCATTACCTGCAAGATCACTATCAATCAACATGTCGGAGTGCATGCACTAACACAAGATATCCCATATCACTCACCATCAGAAGACAGGGTGAAGACTTCTTTGGGGATGAAGAGCTTGTCATCTGCAGAACGTGCCCAGTCTTTCATTCCTCTCCTCCCCTTCATGGGGAAGTTGATGTCACTGGAAACAGCCGAAACTGGTTCTCGCTGGATGGTGATTACTGACAGAACCAGAGAAAGACAGAGTCTTAAAAGTTCAAATATTAAATGCTTCACGGAAGTACCTTTAAGAGGTTTGTACTGCAGGACAACATGACATTTACTTGTGGCACTTTTGTGGATGCTATGAGAACTTACTGAGGTTGTTGGTGACGACCAGAAAGCTCTGGAATGGCTTTTGAGCATCTCCAATTAGATGAATGAAGTCTTCCACAACTCGCATCAGTAACGCAGAACCCGGAGAGACCTAAAAGGAAGTTAAATTGATCAAAACTGGCAGTGAAGATATTTATAATGCTACAAAAGGTTTCTATTTCAAATAAATGCTGTTCTTTTGAACTTTCTATTCATTAAAGAATTCTGAAAAAAATGTATCTATTTTTTCAACCAAAATTAGCACTACAACTGTTTTCAACATTGATCATAAGAAATGTTTCCTGAGCTTAAAATCAGCACATTAGAATGATGTGAAAATTTAGCTTTGTCATCACAGGAATTATATTATTAATATATATAATAAAGAAATATAATAAAGTTTATTTATACACACCGAACAAAATTATAAACGCAACACTTTTGTTTTTGCCCCCATTTTTCATGAGCTGAACTCAAAGATCTAAGACTTTTTCTATGTACACAAAAGGCCTATTTCTCTCAGCACCTGTGTTCGTTGTCCATAACATACGCCTGCCCATACCATAACCCCACCGCCACCATGGGCCACTCAATCCACAACGATGACATCAGCAAACCGCTCACCAACACGACGCCATACACGCCGTCTGCCATCTGCCATGTACAGTAAGGTTTCTATTTCAAATAAATGCTGTTCTTTTGAACTTTCTATTCATTAAAGAATTCTGAAAAAAATGTATCTATTTTTTCAACCAAAATTAGCACTACAACTGTTTTCAACATTGATCATAAGAAATGTTTCCTGAGCTTAAAATCAGCACATTAGAATGATGTGAAAATTTAGCTTTGTCATCACATGAATTATATTATTAATATATATAATAAAGAAATATAATAAAGTTTATTTATACACACCGAACAAAATTATAAACGCAACACCAACCCGTCTCGTTGGCTTCTGCGGACCATCAGCCTCGGCTATGTGATTCAGTTCGCCCAGCATCCCCCCCAGTTCAGTGGCATCCGCTTCACGACAGGTAAGGCGGCCGATGCTCCTGTCTTGCGTGCGGAAATCGCAGTCCTACTGGTGAAGGATGAGATAGAGCCGGTCCCTCCAGCCGATATGAATACAGGGTTTTACAGCCCTTACTTCATTGTACCCTAGAAAGGCGGTGGGTAACGACCAATCTTGGATCTGCGTGTCTTGAACCGGGCCCTTCGCCAGTTACCGTTTAAGATGTTGACGTAGAAACGCATCTTCGGGTGCATCCGTCCCCGAGATTGGTTTGCAGCAATCGACCTGAAGGATGCGTACTTCCATGTGTCGATCCTTCCGCACCGCAGACCATTTCTGCGGTTCGCGCTCGAAGGACAAGCATATCAGTACGAGGTCCTGCCCTCCGGGCTGTCCCTGTCACCCCGCGTCTTCACGTAAGTTGCGGAGGCAGCCCTTGTTCCCTGAGTGAACAGGGCGTTCGCATTCCCAACTACCTCAACGACCGGCTGATACTAGCTCAGTCTCAGCATCAGTTGTGTGCACACAGGGACTTGGTGCTTTCGTCTCAGTGATCAGCCGTAAAACAGTGATTCTGTCCCTTACATATTATTGGTGGAGTTCCCTTTAAAATCTTAAATGATTCCCTTTGAGCTAAATTGACCTGTTTCCCTTACAACACTGAGGGGGCATTCGCGGATGAGTCATGTTATGACTTTCCCAGGCTGCCGAGAGGGTAGGGCTTGAGTGGAAACCTCCACCGTGTCCCGGGCCCTCAAGGTTGGATGATTGGTTTCTCGGGGTGGCTCGCGCTGGTTCTCAGCGCCCCG